CCAAGTTTGGCTGCGAACTGTTGTAAAATGCGGAAAATATAGCCGTGCGAAGTTGGCCAATTTTGTATACTTTTGTATTACGGGCTGAAGTGTGTAACTAATTGCAACCTCGCACAAAACTTGCCAACCTCGCATGACCACATTTTCCGCATTTTACAACATTTTGCAACCAAACTTGGCAATTTTACTAATTTTTAATAGTATGTTCTTTACAGCTTTGGTGATTTATTTCCTTTTCTTTACTTAGATAAAAAATTAGTGTATAGCGCAAGTCGTCCATTGCTTCATAGGATTTGAACACAATATTGAAACAATAATTTTCTATTTACAGCTATAATTTGTATTCTATCACATCCCTCTCCTCATCAACTATCTCATCATCCCTTTCCTCATCAACTATCTCATCATCACTGTCATTCTCATCTACTATCTCATCCCTTTCCTCATCACCTATCTCATCATCCCTTTCCCCATCAACTATCATATCATCACTGTCATCCTCATCAACTATGTCATCATCACTGTCATCCTCATCACCTATATCATTATTCCTTTCCTTGTCAATTGCTTCATCTGTTCCTTCCATAAATCCTTTCACATAGTCTTTAATTGTAACAACAGCTTTTTCTGTCACTTGACCTTGGTTCACCATCCTTGTCAGCCACTTGATTTTGTTTGCACCAAGTGATGAAAGTGCCTCCACATTTACTTCATCAATAATAGACACATTTGTATCTGCTGATATGAGTTGAATTATGTGTTGGAAATTCTTTTCCTCTCGCTGCTTTTTTCTTTTTTTGTTCTTATTTTTGTTCTGTTTTCTTGACCTTTTCTTGGATTTGTTTTTTAACAACGTTCCACGAAACATATCTTTGCACTGCTCCTCCTTTTCCTTAAGATCCTTCAAAATACTCTCAAGTTTGTTTCTTAATTCTCCCAGTCGGGTGATAATATTCTCATCAAATGAATACGAACATTCCTGCCCATGCTTCAATTTTCCAGATTTGGCAAAAAGACCATCCAGGTTCTCCTTGATAGCTTGATCTTCGCCTTTAATAGCTTCTTGCAACACTGCAATTTTTTGTATATTTGTCCTCAGAATAATTTGGTCTGATGGGATGAGGATGCATCCATCATCATTTAAACTTTTCCTGCAGCACCTGGATCATGATTGCTTAAAATGGCATCAATACGCAATGATAACTTTGTTATAAGCTGATGAGTGTCATACTGCCTCCTTCCTTCACTGTGAAATTGCTTCACAAACTCGCGAAGACTTTTGCAAGTGTGGTAAAATGCTTTGTAGCATTTTGGGAGACATTCATTCATAAATTTTGCACGAACAGATGATGCATTTGGTATCCATCCAAATGTTTTTTGTTCCCAAGGTCTTTTGTCTGTATGTTCCCTTTGAAGGGAACTTGGAAAGTTAGATGAATTGTACTGGCAGGCTTACTTGGAAAGTTAGATGAATTGTTTACACTACTGACAGACCCACAATCTATATTTTGTTGTTCCTGCTCTGAATTCTGTACTTTACTCTGTGTTGTCTGTAGCTCACTTTTCTTCCTTAAAAGGCGTTTCACTTCAACATTTGAGAGGCCTGACAAAAAATACACACACTCAAAAAATGGCTATCAAATAGCTCTACTAATTACTATTCAGCAGGTATTATTATGCTTATTGCATTTGTAGTATATAATAAACAAAATTAAATTTATAGCAAAATACCAAAATATATAAAACAATACAGAACATAAAAAGTAATTTGGCATTTGCTTTATAGCAGCAAAATTTAAACAAGTCAAGATTCTGTTACCCTCTATAGTAAAAATACAGCACTCATTAATATTTATAAATGTCGAGCAACTTGAAGATGGCATAATTTCATGGTTGACAACACAATGTTTAAACATAAATTTAATTATAAGTTAGTAACCGCACCTATTTCTTTGAGATCGTCAATGTCTACATCTTGAAAATGCTCAACACAGCGTATTCCAATCCTGTTAAAATGGGCTTTGAACTCTTTGACTCAAGATCAGCAGATTTTAGAAATGGTGTCAAATCGTCCGCCATGTTTTCTGAGATATTGGTCCCAGAAGTCTGGGTACGAAATTAAAAAACAAAATAGAAAATGGCGGGTATTTCGTCTTCGAGGAACGACAATTTGAATGGATCAAGTTTGAAGAGTGTTGACGAAAGCAAATTATCTTTCTCACAATTAAGGAGCAAGAGCAGGAAGGAATCTTCTATTGGCAAACAGATACGAAAGTCACTTCAGACATGTAAAGTTCGGAATAACTTGGCGAAACTTGAGGGTTTATTAAAGTGTGCTACTAGTAAATCTCTGTCAAAAATATTAGAAGGTCTTTTGTATGTTTTAAGACAGCTCCTAGCACAAAGTGAAAGCAACTGCAAAGCTGTTGGTTTTTTGTCATTTGAAGATGCATATGGTTTTTACTGTGGCTTCATTGATAGCACTCCTGACGAAGCAAATTTTCATGATCACCTTCTTCACAAAGACTATGGGTTATGTGTAATTGTAACCGAAATCTTAGGCAAACGCTACATCTTATTACAAAATGAGGAGATTAGTCTTGAAGATTTTTTGTTAGAATTGGAGAGGCTTGATGAAGAAAACATGAATGCTAGTGTAAAACATCATTTGCATCTGAACGCCACAACCTTAAACTCCATATTAAACTCTTTGGATACTGAATATGACAGAATGACATTGAAAGCTGTAGTATTCGCTCTGCATTCAAGATCAGAAACTTACAACCTTGGCATTAAGCCCGACAGAGCAGTGCAGTTTATTTCAAAAGTTATTTCAGCCTCAGAAGAAAGTGAAAAGGCTTTAACGGAAGCAGCAGATATCCTTCAGGTTAGAACGCCAGAAAAGATAAAGAAAGTTGAAAATAAAATACAAAGCATTGACCACAAACTGCAAAAACAATCAGCTATGCTTTCGGAAAATAGAAAGTGTGACATTGAAAATGAAAAGATTGTGCTCAAAGAGAGATTAGATAATCTTAAACTGTTAGAAGTAAATTATACTGTTTATCCACAAAGGAAAACACAAGAAGCAAAGCGAAAAATAGCAAGAGATGTAATTGATTCTAAGAGGATCAAAAGGAGAAAATTGGGAGCAGGAGCTCCATCGTTGTTAGATTTAGAAGATGAAGAGTTTATTGCCAATGCAATTTCTTCAAAGAGTACTTGCCATGGTAGAAGGCATGAAACAACACTGTTTACAAACCATAGAGTGAAGAAAAGAGACTTTTTGCTCTTGCTAATTACTCACGCTTAAGACGTGGGAAGAAGTTGATAAAGTCTGCGACTACAGTAACCAATCGATGGAAGCCAAGAAATGTCAAGTCTAGAGCATGATTTCAACATCCCCGAAGTCAATCAAACGCCAGCATCATTTCGCTTCATCAAACAACATATAGAGAAAATTGAAGGAAATAATGAGTTAATCACCGATCAAGATCAAAGTGTTGTCACCATAAGACCAAAACATTATATCGGAAGTAGCGGCAGTGTATGGGCATCTGATTATATGCGCTTACATCATGAACTCCCTTCACTTTTTCAAGAGAATCTAACCGACACTGACTATAGCATAAGTTTCAAAGGCTTGCTATTCATTCTCATGATGCCATGTTTTACTTCACTGACCTTACCATGAAAGACGATGTAGTGCGTGCCACATCACAGCCTGACTGTAAGCACTTTTGCTACGAGGCAGAAAAGCTTACATGGTTTTGAAATCAAATTGATGAAATTATACTAACGTGGAAGGAAACACCACAAGCGGTTGACGAATCTGAGCTTGTTTTAGCAAATGAACTGCTGGAAGACCTTATCCGTATCAAAGAAAATGCAGCTACAGTGCAGAAAGAAATGCTACTCCACATACAAGAGGACAACTTGTGGACTGTAACTGAAGACATTTTAAGAGCCTGTGAACTGTATCTCAAAAGGTTAGTTCCTCTGAAATACGCAAATAATTGCTGCAGTATTCTTAAGGCTACAGATGCAGGTCCTGGGGTGGGAGTAACCAATACCGAGGTTTGTTTTAGAGATATAGAAACTGCATGGATACATTCAAGTGATCGTGTAAATCGGATTCACCGTGCCCCAGGTGACTCGGCACAGAATGAAGCAGAGAGAACCAATGCATCCATTGAAGAGGCCCTTGTAGATGGAACAGCATTGAAGTGGGAGTATTTCAAGCCTTTTGACGGGCTGACAAGTGAAGAGATAGATGAACTATCATCAAATGAACTTAAAGAAAAAGGGAACTTATGCACGGAAAAAAATGCGTGGAGAGTAGCCCATGATGTGGCAGCAATGATTGATGATGAACCAGGTCCTGCTGGAGACTTCATAAAATGTTATGTTACTCAGCGAGAAAAAAATCAGTTCTTTTTTAATCAACCTTACCTAATGAAATATGCAGCTGCTAAAACAGAAGCTAAGAAGAATGAGGTAACAGGGTGCAATTATTTCAAGAAAATATATGCATTTATAGACTCTCATTGTCTTCATGGTGCGATGTTTCTTGAATACCTCAAAGGATCTTGCAAAGATGCTCATGGAAAACTATGTGACTTTTGCACCTCAAGAGAAAAGTGCTGTAGCCAGATTGAACATGTCCCAAGGCCATTTCCAGATCATGAAAAGCCTGGATATCATTACCTTCCTGCGGACAAAACTCCAACCAACAACAGGGTTGTCGACGATTATTTACCACGAACACAGCTAAAGAAGGCTTATATCTCAGGCGAATGCTCCTTGGAAGATCCCACCAGTATCTCAAACTTCAGTAGACAGTTTATAGTATCTGAAGAATGCGTTACAGATTATCTTAAGCACTTGAAGTTGCTTGAACTCAGGAAAGATAAGAGAAAGAAACAAAGAATTGCCAAAGCATCTGCTTTAGCAAAGAAGAAATACGAAGATTATGATTGGAATGCCATGCTCGATGGATGATGGGTCTCTCACCAAACAAAAAGTAGCTGTCTTGGATAAATACCTGAGACATCACAAGCTGCACTCTGCTTCAAACAAGAAAGCAAAGTTATCTGCAGTCCAGAGACATATTACACACCATTCGACTGCTACCAGTCAAACAGCGGAAAAAGAGAAATCAGACTCTGATTCTGGAGATGAAAGTGATATTGAATCCACTTTCTCATTGTGCGATGAGGATGGAACTGACATTGCTCTTGCAGAAATCGGTTCAAGCTCCGAGGAAGACAACAAAGCTGGAAATGATGTTGAAATGTCTAGTGTAGTAAGAACTAAGACAAGATCTGGGAGAAATGCAACCCGCTTTTTATTAAATGAAAGAAAGTATGCTTTTTATGTGTTAAGAGAAATGGGGGGGGTCTCATGAATTTATGCAAGGCTATATAGGGGGCTAGTGTTTTTCCTGCTACATTCTTGGGAGGGTCGTTTAAAATTATGCAACAGAAAATAGAAATGCACTAGCCCTCCCCCCCCTTTAATAAATGTCCGGTCCCTAATTGACATCTGAAACATTGTTTAAATTGTAAATATAGGTATTATAATGTGAAATTCACATTACTCACCAATCTGTATTATTATAAGTCATGATTCTATAATTTGTTTTAAGTCTCAAATTTAGGTGAGTAATGTCGGTTTTTATATAGACTGCTATTTCTAACACATAAACACATTGTATTGACAGAGGGCATGTATATAAATCACAGTTAATGTTTTCCATTGGTATTTAGCGAATAATAGTCTAAAAAATTTAAACATTTGTAGTGAGTAATGTACTGAGAAGTGCGTTTTGCATTAATGAATTAATAGGGTTAACATGGTAATTATATAAACATCCGCTAATATCTCGTTCGGCAGCCATGGGACTTTATCATTGCGCAAATCCTCTTTGGAAGGTTGCTTATAGTTTTAGCGATAACGTCAATCGGTGTGTTATTTATTGCTGGACTACTCTTTCCTCAAATTGAGAGAAGCTTTCAGCCTCAAAGGATTGTCCTATAGCTTCGTCGCACAAGGTGCGTTTCACCAGATGAAAAACATTTTCAATCAGGCTTAAGTCCGGTGATCGTGCAGGAATCTGTAATAGCTGTGCCTCGATAGTTTCAAGTGCTTTCATAACAACTTTACTCGTTTGCAATGGGTAATTGTATATGACGAATATGCAGCTTCCTTGATGTTTAGGACCAGCTTTTCCAAACGTAATGTTGAAATGATCCTTAATGAAATTGGCAAAGAATGGTCCATTTATTTTTTGGTAAGGAATTGCCAAAATAACCCCAAATCCTTGCTCCCAGTGCCTGTATAAACAAGCCCCTCGCCAGACTCTAGCATTTCCAGTTCTTTTTGCTGTTCTCATTGGATTGTACTTGTGTACAAATGAGACCCCATCAAGAATGAAGGAAACTTCATTCATCCAAAAATGTTCGTTTACTCTCATGGATTGCTGGATTTTTCTGCCAAATTTTCTTCTCATTTTTTTATCTTTATCTGACAATATTCCTTTCTTCCTCCGTTGCAAAAAACCATAACCATGCTCATTCGATTATTCGTGAAACTGTTCTTTGGATGGTTATATTTGAATCAAGGCCACACTTCAGTCATCAGTGGCGTAACAGACACATTTGGTTCGTGTAATCTCAATGTTTTTAATGCTCTAATTAAAGGACGCATATTTTGTTCGTCCAACTTTCTTGGTCTTCCCGTTTTTTTACATAATTCTTTTCTTCATATTCTTTGGCTTGACGACTTGGATATTTTACACAACTTAGCTATTTCGCTGTATGATGCATGTGCTTTTGTGTGCAAGAATTGGGCATAGGCCTTTTGCGTTGCAGTTATCCTGCCCCCAGGCATTGTTTCTTGGTTTGGTTTGAAACACAAATTGATGTACTTACCACAAATTAATGCACTTTCGTTTTTATGATATTACAACAATTAATATATTAACATTGAAAAGGGGGAGGGGGGAATCGGGGAAAAAGCAAGCGTAGGTGGTCACAGTAGTTGTGATATTGCGATAGCATGCGCCGTCCTATTAACTTTTGGCCAAGATTGTAGGTTATCCAGGAACTTATTTTTATAATCTCTACTTGCATTTTTGATGGTGGTTGGAATTATATATTCATATGGACATTCGAAAAATAGCCTCCACAGCATCTGGAGAATGTTTTTCTGTCCCAATAAGAAATACTTGGACCCAGGCGGTGTGCGTATTGGGATCGCAAAGCATGACGGGAGAAAACAAAAATACTTCATTTGCATTCAGACCATGCTCGAGTGATGTTCGCAGGAGCAAAACGTTCGAATAAATGGCTAAGCTTATTGTTTTGCAAGTTTAATTTATATGGGAATTACTGGTTTGTTACCATTTTTAAAATGCTTTGGTAAACAATGCAACATACGCATGTTTTCGGGCCAGAAGGTTGTGATAGATGCTTCGTGTTGGATCCACAAAGGACTGTATACTTTGATAAATCAAAATGGAGATCGCGAAGGGTAAGTAAATTCGCCATTCAGCCTTGAAATATTTATAGTTGCTGGTTTTATAATAACTTAAATTGCCATTGTACTTTAGTGATATTGGGTCTCCTTATAGATGTTCTAATATCTTCAAACGACACTTGGTCATTGTAAAAGAATGCGGACTAATACCAATTGTGGTGTTTGATGGGTTACCGTTGCCAGCAAAAGCTACCGAGCATCAACATAGACAAAAGTAAGAAAACTTGCAGCAAATAAATATTGCCACTCGTGCATCCATTTAACAGCATGTACTGTTATATCAGATTTATTATAGCTCAGAATTTGAAAATATACAGCATTAACTATTTTAGACAAGACCCAGGCTTGAAGTTCACAAATATTGTCAAGTATAAACAATCATGATGTATATAAAATTTCTTCTGAAAAAAAGAAAGTCTTTTAGCTACAGCTGTTCAGCCTGGTATTTCAGAAGAAAAGGCTAAAAAAATACGAAGCCAGGCAGCATCTATCACCTACGAAGATATTGTGATGTACATAAATGTAAGGTGATATGAATAATTCATTGTATGATCATATGATCATGTTATTATTTAACAGTAATGCATAGTTCAAAACCCATGGTTTGGTTGCTGTTTTGGTATACTACATGTAATTTTTGCTGTTGAAAGGTCTGCAAGTCTGAAGATGTGATGTACATTGTTTACCCTTATGAAGCTGATGCCCAGATGGCTTATCTTGTTAAGAATGGAGACGCTGATTTTGTTGTCACTGAATACTCTGACCTTTTGACCTATGGCTGTAAACAGGTGTGTTAATTTAAGGCACCAGAGGCTCCCACACAACTTGGAAACAAACTGTAGCAGAACAATTATCTGGTTGTGTCTGCGCTGCATATTCCCAGCTTGTTGGCAAGTTTTGACAATTGGTAATTCAACCCATTAAGCCACAATACATGCACCCTAGTATGACTTATGTTTTTTACAAATGCCAGACGATTTTACTTGTCAATGGGGAAGCTCTGGAACTTAACCCATTAAGCTGCAGAGCTCCCCCATTGACAAGTAAAATCGTCTGGCGTTTGTCAAAAAAAATATATAAGTAGGGCGCACTGGGGCGCAATGCGACTTAATGGGTTAACTAGAGACATTGTCAATTTTTGTGGTTAACCCATTAAGTTGCCGAGCTCTCCCATTGACAAGTAAAATCGTCTGGCGTTTGTCAAAAAAAATAAGTAGGGCTCACTGGGACGCAATGCGGCTTAATGGGTTAACTAGAGACATTATCAATTTTTGTGGTTAACCCATTAAGTTGCCAAGCTCTCCCATTGACAAGCAAAATTGTCTGGCGTTTGTCAAAAAAAAAAAAGTAGGCTCACTACGACGCAATGCGGCTTAATGGGTTAACTAGAGACATTGTCAATTTTTGTGGTTAACCCATTAAGTTGTCGAGCTCTCCCATTGACAAGTAAAATCGTCTGGCGTTTGTCAAAAAAAAATAAGTAGGGCTCACTGGGACGCAATGCGGCTTAATGGGTTAACTACAGACATTGTCAATTTTTGTGGTTAACCCATTAAGTTGACGAGCTCTCCCATTGACAAGTAAAATCATCTGGCGTTTGTCAAAAAAAATAAGTAGGGCTCACTGGGACGCAATGCAGCTTAATGGGTTAACCAAAAAATCTGACAATCTATTTAGTTAACCCATTAAGCCACAATGGACCCCAGTGCACCCTACTTATTTGTTTTTGACAAACGTCAGACAATTTTACTAGTCAATCGGGAAGCTCTGGAGCTTAATGGGTGAAAAAAAGTGGGTGACTGAACAGACTTTGTTACATGCTGTTATTCTCCTGGTATGCTACACCTTGTTTCCCAATTGCAACCTAGGTTTGATTAATAAAACATTTTCTAACTTTGTTTTTTGTGTTACCAATAAATTAGCAGTCAACAATTTGCTGTGATTTGCTTCTTGGGAATACCATCTTCCTCATATGTTGGTCACGGTAAACCTGAAGTCACAGTGAATAAATACTTTATGACTTTGTAGGTAATGGCGAAGGTTAATATGAATGGGGATGGTGAGTTATTTTTGTTGGATAAAGTACTGGATTGTTTACATCTCACCATTCCACAATTTCAAAACATGTGTATCGCTGCTGGATGTGACTACCTGAAGAATGTGAAAGGTTTTGGCATCAACAAAGCATACAAGGCAATCAAGATGTATGGATCTGATTTTTTGCAATTCATACCCAATGCACCTGCAGAGTACATAGATTCGTTTAACAAAGTTTTTGCAGTTTTTAACCATCAAACTGTTTTTGACATCAATACTTGTCAAACTGTACCATTGCAAGAAACAACAACTGAACTTTCTCTAGAAGTGCAGTATCTCTGTGGAAAGTATCCTTTTTTTAAATAGGGTTTTGGCTTAGTGCCAGTGATTTTGTCAATTTATTTTTGATGATTTCATGTGCATCGAGTCGACTGCTAATTTATATAGATGTATACATTTATATTATATGTGATTGAACATCTCTGGAAACTTTCCAGTTGCCAATACTTTGTCCACCTCTAAGGCAAACCTTTATCTGTAAAACAAGCTTATCTGTTTATCAGCAAACAACTGTTTGAGAGGTTGAGAGGTAGCAGTTGCCATAACACGTTTTTCTGATGGCTTTCCAGGCGTGTTGCCTTCTTCAGTTACTTGCCTTTTTGATGCCATGACGTGTTGACCTTTCCGTCCTGTTCCAAGTAAGAAAAACCATTACATTTACATGTAAATTTGAAAGAGCTAAAAATGGATGCGGCAATGGGGAGGATTGAGCGTTCATATTTATCTTACAAGGTATTCATTCCTCTTTTCAGCTTCAAACTGCCAGGAGTAACACACAATTGGTTAACAAATCTAAATGTCAAATTAGCACACGAAAATACAGGCAAACAGACAGGCTTAAACATGTGAATACGAGGGAATAATTCACACTAAAAATACCTTATGGTATTTATAGAACCTTAACAAAATACAATCGGCAAAAATCATAACCAAATATTGAATATTGATAACATAAAATTTGCATTAAAACGCACCTGGATTTCACACTTTCGGCGCCATTTTTTAAAAGCTTCGCCCACAGTGCTTTGCGATCCCAATATGCACACCGCCTGACTTGGACCCAAAAATTTGTGTGCTTGCCTAAGAAAAATGCTGTGATGCCTTCAACTACAGCAGAGAGAGTGAGCATGGCATTGATTGGATTGAAAGAACACACCATATTATGTTTCAATAAAGATGGAAATAGCGAACATGTTGACGGAAAAGTTTTAGAAACATATCCTTTGCTAGCAAATGTAGGCGGTATGAAATTTTGAGAACTGTGGATCCTAGCACCCATCAGTTGTTTTAGAAATACCACCAGGAGGTTACACAGTGACTTCCCTAAAATCAACGATGGGGTCAGCAAAAGCGTACATTAGGCCATTACAAAAAGACATACCTTTAGATTGTGTGCAGTTCTTAAATATGGTCAAAGTCAGGTTAGAGAATGTCTTCTTTTAGTTTTTATTATATACTAACCTTATTTTACCAGGCTGCATGAGTCATGAACTACACTGTGTGAAGTTTACTAACACATTTTTTTACATATCAGTGAGTTTTTGTTGTGCATGAGGAGTGCATACAGCCGTAGTTTTGATTCACAGTCTTAACAATTAATTGCTTGTAAGCTAACATACTGTTTTCATGGTAATTACTACCTTTTCAATAAAACATGTGATATGTTGGTAATTCAATGTTTTTAATGACTCCAAACGTTGCTGATGTCAATTGCCACAAGTCTATTGCCATAGACATAATGCACATGCACAACAATTCCTGTGGCAGAGGGAGCTCAAGGATGACATTTAATGAAAATACCAGGTAGTATTTTTTAATTAGATTAAATTGCAATTAGTTTATTTAAGTTATATTACATGCATTGCATGAGTGTTTAATTCATATTGCAGTCCATGTCATTTTTTGTCATATTTTTTGTTACAGTGATTGTGGAGAAACAGAAATAGTTGGAGAAATCAATTCAAGAAATAGAGGTATAGAATTACCGGGTAAGGCGCTGAGATTTAAAAGTATAAATTTACCGCTATTGCCGTTTTTGTCTGCAAATATTTCAACAAAATAGAGTCATAAAATGGTAACTGCAGTATGTAAGAGCTTTGTACACAATTACAGTGTTTGTCTGGCCACTACCTGCATGACCATTTCCTTTTGTGTCAAATGCGGTTTTTATGTAGATACTTTCCAACATAACCAGGAGCAGCATGGCAGCGTCTTCAAACAAGTTAGCATCAAATGTGGTATAACAACTGCCTAAAATAGACTAAACACTCGACGTTTCGACCTGAGGGAGTGTTAATATATGATAGTATCATACTAACTCTCCTGACGAAGACCCTCAAAACCTTGAGAAGTGTTTGTCTATTTTAGACAGTTGTTATACCTGCATTTGATGCTATGCAGTTATTATGGTTTAAAAATTAGTATGCCATTTGGAAGTTCTCGTTCTTCCTTGGAAATATGAAATGAGGGAGGCATTTAGCAGTCTCTGTTTTGTAGGTCTGGGTCAACTCAATATTTTTCCAAATCCTGACGAATGCGTGATTACACAAGCTTTGGACAATGTTAATGGTTGTGTGGAAGAAGCAGTGGAAGTATTACTTGGAGATGACACAGGTACGGTGTAAAGTGTAAACTTTATTGAAGTTTTAAACATACAGGTTGTATAAACATAAAGTACATACAAATAGTTGAGATGTAGCTATCCCTTAATATCAATTTTGTACATATTCATATGCGTTTTATATTTATATAAAGAACAAAGCTGCAAACTCCAATTAATTTACACTTGCTGTTATCTTCATGAGTTGCCTGCTTCCCTTACAATGACATGTTCACTTATAGATTATAAAATTGAAATCCTGTAAACGTCGTGTATTTCTACGCAACCTGAACCTGATGCCAGCAATATTAAAGGGAATGTGTATTCTGACCTGGATACATTTCGAAAAGCAGTCATCGACGAAAACTTAACAAGGCAGCGCTTTACTGTGTCGTGAGAAGATGGATCTGAGGAGCTAAAAAGAGATATCCTTAGTAACTACAAAAATAGTAATTGCAAACTGAGGGCAAGATTGCGTGTAAGATTCAAGGGCGAAGAAGATGTGGGAAGTGGGCTCGTCAGGGAATTTCTTTTATGCGCAATGAAACTCGTCCGAGAAGGTATCAGACATAGCAGAAAGCCCGTAATCTTCTTTGAAGGAGAAGACCATGAATTCGATTATAAAACGTGTCTGGAATACTTATTGGCCAAAAATGGACTTCTGGATTTATACACTGGGGAGCTTCATACTCGAAGTACAACAACATCTCATCTCAATGTTGTATATGTCACATTTAGTATGACAATTTATGTAAATATGACTGTACAGTTTAATATGTAAATTAATTAGCATTAGGATATATAAGGGATTGTTTTGATAAGTCATGGCATATATGTATATACTTTGATATTGGAAATTAAAACGTATTTTACATGGTGTCAGGTGTGGGATTATGGATAGCTTTCATAAGCCGAGTTCTTTAAGTTTCGAAGGAAATACATCAGAAAATTGGAGACGATTTAAGCAGCAGTATCAGATATATTTGGTCGCGTCGGGAAGCGAAGACAAAGACGACACAATTAAAATAGCCATATTGTTGAATTTTGCCGGCGAAGATGCTATAGAAGTTTTTAATACTTTCGAGTTTGTTGCTGGCGATGAAAAAAAATTGGATAAGGTTATCGAGAAGTTTGAAAGGTATTGTAACCCCAGAAAAAATGTTGTATTCGAGAGATATCAGTTTTGGAAAATTACACAGAGAGATTCAGAGACGGTTGACCAATTTGTCACAAGATTAAAGAACAAAGTAAAATCGTGCGAATATACATCGGTTGACGATATGGTAAGGGACAAGTTTGTGTTTAGTATACAAGACGTAGCTGTGAAAGAAAGGTTATTACGAGAAGAGAAACTAACACTGGAAAAAGCTATAAGTATGGCGAGAGCAGCCGAAGCGTCGAAGGAACAGATTAAAGTCATGAATGTTAGGGAGCAATCAAGCGAAGCAAATCAGTCGGTAGATGTTCTTCGATATGGTGCTAATCAAGGAAAAGAGCAGACAGGCGGCCGCCGTGAAAAAACAAAGTCCGAAAAGTGTGGATTCTGTGGTATGGTTCACGCATCAAGGTCTTGTCCGGCGTTTGGCAAAACTTGTAATTATTGTAAGAAGACGGGACATTTTGAGCGTGTGTGTCGAGCGAAGCAACGACAACGTGACTATAGACCAAGAGAAATGAATGTTGTAGGGGAATCCAAAGACGGCGAAGTTAGTGATGATGATTTATTGACATTTTCAGTAGAATCAAATAATGAAGGCGGCTCAAAGAATGACTGGCATGTCGTGCTTAAGTTGGGAAGAATGGATTTGAATTTCAAATTAGATACAGGGGCAGATTGTAATGTGATTTTCGCAATCATCGTTTGAGCAATTGTCATTAACAAATACAAGGATTGTTAAAAGCAAAAGCAAGTTGAAGATGTTCGATGGCCGTAAGATAAATCCGAAAGGCAAAGTCAGTTTAGAGTGCGAGTATAAAGGCAAATTTACTGTGTTAGACTTTGTACTAGTTGAGCAAGATCTACCATCGATTTTAGGATTGAAATCCTGTTTAGAGCTCGGATTGGTAAAGCGAGTTTATAGTTTGGAAATGGATCCACCGAAGATCGAAACAGAATTCAGTGACGTTTTCGAAGGTCTGGGAGAGATTAAAGATGTTCAGTACCAGATTAAGATTGATTCATTGTCTAATCCAGTGGTGCATCCTCCTCGAAGAGTTCCTATGGCACTTCGAAAGCCACTAGAAGAAGAGTTGCGTCGAATGAAGAAGTTGGGGGTGATTGAGAAAAAGAATGAACCCACCGCTTGGGTACATAGCCTAGTCATCGCCAGAAAAGCAAACAACAAAATTAGAGTCTGCATGGATCCTAGTGATTTAAATAAAGTGATTATGCGAGAGCATTTTCCTATGCAGACTGTTGAAGAGGTCGTCAGCAGAATGCCCAATGCCAAGGTGTTTAGTGTTCTTGATGCGAACCATGGTTTCTGGCAGGTTAAATTGGCCAATGAAAGCAGTGACTTAGCCACTTTTAATACTCCATTTGGACGGTATAATTATAAACGCTTGCCGTTTGGAATAGCTTCGGCTCCGGAAGTATTTCAGAGTATTATGTCGGACATGTTTTCAGATATAGAAGGAGTTGAAGTTATCGTGGACGATTTAGTAGTCTGGGGAGAAGACGTAATGAAACATGACGAACGACTTCGTATGGTTTTAGAACGCTGTCGTGATAAAAACCTTAAGTTGAATCCAGAGAAGTGTAGATTTCGCGTTCCTGAAGTAAGTTATGTTGGCCATGTTTTGAGTTCAGATGGACTGAAACCAGACCCCCGGAAAATTGAAGTGAATAAAGAGATGCCGCGGCCCACAAATAGTGAAGAGTTGAAGAGATTTTTGGGCATGGTTACGTATGTCGCCAAGTTTATTCCAGATATGGCACAGATAACAGCTCCGTTGCGTCAGTTGCTGGAGAAAAATGTTGAATGGTTTTGGGAACAAGAGCAAGAAAAAGCGTTTACAACTTTAAAGGCAGCAATTATCGATCCACCAATCCTCAAATTCTTTGATCAGAAAGAACCTGTGTGCTTGTCGGTTGACGCCAGCTCGAAAGGTATGGGTGCAGTGCTTCTTCAGAATGATCGTCCAGTAGCGTATGCGTCGAAAGCGTTAACTTCATGTCAGCAGAACTACTCACAGATTGAAAAAGAAATGCTTGCAATAGTTTATGGTTGTGAGCATTTCCATCAATACCTATATGGGCAACGCGAGGTTCTCGTGGAAACTGACCATAAACCGTTAGAGGCAATAATGAAGAAACCCATCCATCAAGCTCCTCTTAGATTGCAGAAAATGATACTCAGAATTAAACCTTATGCGATTAAAGTGAAATATACTCCAGGGAGTCAGCTATTGATAGCAGATGCTCTTTCTAGATCTCAGATGCCCGTACAGATAAACGATCCAGATCCAGATGAATTCGAGGTCAATGTTTTGGAATCGGGTCAGATTTCTGAGACTATGTTTGAGAAGTTGGTTGAGGAGACCAAGAAGGATGTTGAACTTCAGCAGTTGCATAGAGTAGTAATGGATGGTTGGCCGCAGACAAAGCCTGAAACGCCCATAGAAATTCGATCTTATTGGAGTTACAGAGATGAAATAAGCAGTTATGATGGTTTGATGTTTAAAGGAGATCGTGTAATTGTTCCACATGTTCTTAGATCAGAAATGTTGGATCGTATACATGCAGCTCATTTGGGAATCGAGAAGTGTAAAGCACGGGCGAGAGGTTCAGTATTCTGGCCTGGAATGAATAGTGCAATTGATGTAATGGTTTCAGAGTGTAGAACATGTTTACAATTTCAGCGAAGGAATCAGAGAGAGCCGTTGATGCCGCAGGAAATTCCAGAGAGGCCGTGGTCAACCGTTGCAGGGACATATTTTATTATAAAGGAAGAGATTATTTATTGGTAGTTGATTATTTCTCGAAGTATCCTGAAGTGACAAGGATAAATCACAAGAGTAGTGAAGCAGTCATTTTAGCAATGAAAGAAATGTTTGCCCGTCATGGGATTCCAAAAAAGATTATAGCCGATAATATGCCTTTTAACACAGCCTTAGATTTAAAGACTTTTGCTAGAGAGTGGGAAATTGAGGTTGTGACAAGCAGCCCGCACTATCTGCGCTCGAATGGACTTGTGGAAAGAAATGTTCAGCACAATTAAACTTCTGTTGAAAAAATCAAATGATTCGAAACAAGATGCATTTTTAGCTTTGTTGGAGTTTCGTAATTCTCCAATTAGTGGTATGGAACAATCGCCTGCAGAACTGTTGATGAGTAGAAAGCTGAGAGCTAAGTTACCAATTCCGAAGCATCTTCTTAAGCCGAAGTCACAGCCAGTTGAGGATGTTCGCCAGAGATTGAGAGTACGTCAGTTGCGTCAGAAAACAGCATACGATCGGGGAACGAAACAGTTATCCAGTTTACAGCCAAAAGAGTCGGTGAGAGTTCGACAGGGAGGTGTATGGAATCCGGCTGTGGTCATTGAACAACATAAATCACCTCGTTCGTATATTGTGGCAACTTCAAATGGAACGCAGTTACGTAGAAATCGCCATCATCTAATGCCAACTAACGAACCACCAATGACCATTACACCACCAATGGAACCTGTCAGTGAAGAAGAATGTTGTCCAGTTATAGCCCCAACTATTGAACGTTTACCAGTTGTTTCTCCAGTTATATCCCCGAGTACAGAAATAGAGGAAGACCGAGTACGACCATCTTTGAGAAGAAGTACAAGAATTCGAAGAGCACCATCCCGATTGATTGAAAACATTTAGCTAAGTATATTTGAGTTTGAATTTAGTAGAAATAGGACGTATTAAATTTAGTTCAGGTTTGAACATCATTTATAATACTGGTAATATAATTTAGGAACTATGTATGATTATTGTGAAAAAACTGAAAAAACGGGAGATGTCACATTTAGTATGACAATTTATGTAAATATGACTGTACAGTTTAATATGTAAATTAATTAGCATTAGGATATATAAGGGATTGTTTTGATAAGTCATGGCATATATACTTTGATATTGGAAATTAAAACGTATTTTACAGTATAACATAGTAAACAAACCTAAAAATGAAAGTAATCCAAGTACGACACAGGATTTATAACACAAAGTAATCTTTGTATTTTTCTATATATGCCAGGATTGAACGAAACTGATTTGCACACTTTTATCGGAAGATGTCAGAGTGAC